ATTTTAATTAATTAATTAATATTTATTTATTTTAATTAATATTTATTCTGTTTTTACTGTAACCCACCCAGAGTCACTCTGTAGGGAGATGGGCAGTGACAAATTTGAAATATAAATAATAAATAAATAAATAAATCATGCATTGATAGTGTATTTGATAATTTATTGGGTCATTCATTTAATTGGAATAAACCCTACATAATACTTAGAGATGTGTTTTTATTGAACTCTGTAAAAATTGGGATTTCCCTTCTTTGAACTATCTGGGAATAATTATTCCAAGGAAATTTTCTTCAGTTGTATTTGTAAATATATCAGTTTTTAAAATCTCAGCTAAAAAATCAACATAAATAATTAAAAGTCCCATTGAGTTTATGGATGTGGGGCAGAAGTATAATTTTGATCCTTATTCACACAACAAATATATATGTATACAGACACACACACAGTACTGGGACAATTCCAGCTGAGCATTACAAATAATTTGGGGGTCATGAGCAAGCTATTTTTAATCAGCTAATTTCCAATCAAGTTTTTGTACCATTAGACTTATCGCAAAAGGAAACCAGATTACCTAAAATGGCAAAATGTAATTAAAACTTGGATTGATTGATTTATCAAATTTATATAACTGCCCATCTCATAGACATGACTGTGAATTTGGTCCAGATGCATTAGCAGCTTCTTAATTCCCAAATCATTATCAATATTAGAATGCATTTCAGATTCTAAGTCTGCAGTCCTTTTTAAAAATAAATAATTAAAGAGGATGAGTCAGGAGGGTACTAATTATGAGCAAGAATTCTGGACTAAAGAATTGGAATGTCCCATATTAATAAATCAGTGACTAAGGATTGTAAGGAATGTTAAGTAAGTTTCTTATGATTTTTAGATGGGACTAATTTAACACAAGATTTTCTTTTGCATTTATGAGGCATCCCAAAGAATTTTGAACAGTGTTGGCTGCCAAGTTCACTATATTGGAAATACAATATGAGCTTCTTTTATTATTGCCCAGTTCTGTTTTAATATCTATTTTTGTTAATATGGTGTTACAAGGATCAATATGGTTTAAAGGTATGAAATTGGGCCACATTTTTATATTCCAAAAAGGTGGCACTTATTATTATAGCAAGAATTATGGATTCATCAGGTGAGGAAGGCAGGAAAAAAAGATAACTTTTCCATAGTATGATCCCAGGTTTTCAGTCACGGACCATCAATTCCAGTTGATTAAGAGTTCTCTATCAATGAAATGGAAAGCCTGATCAGTATTATTCCATGATGGTTTTAAAAATTGGGCTGAAGGATTTTTATATGTTACATGACATAGAACATATATCTTTGTTCCTTCCTTTTCTGTTATTTGTCTGTGTGTGTTTGTGTGCGCTCTTTTGTATTCTCTTCTTTTTTTCCTCTTTGTGTACTAAAGCAGTATTTCAAAGAAACACACAAAAAGCATTTTTCAACTACTAGTAAAAAGACATAGCAAGATCTTACAGCACTTTGAACCCGATTCATGTTTCTGGCCAGTTCCACATTCATTGCATCCGGCAGAAGGATGTAATTATGGATGAGCCTTTTATAATTGGTATTGGTAATGTTCGCTTGTGCTTCTTTCGCAGCCACAATGCTGACAGTATCGGCAGGCGTGTTGTAGAGCGTTTTGCTGCTCTCGTAGTCTTTCTTGTACTCGCGAGCTGATTGCATCTTAGCCACTTGCATGTAATGCACCAGCTTGGGATCATCCTGGAGGCTGCGGAAGCCAACAAGCTTACCCTTGTCCTGCTCATAACCTAACTTATATTTGTACTGCAGAGAAAACAGAAAGTAAAATGTAAGCTCAGGAAGGTCAGTACTGTATTGAGACTTCATCATACAGTAATAAAGTGAAAGTGAATATATGCACCGATGTAACAGATTGTTAAACGTGATAAAATTGGTTCCAAAGGTGCCTTTTTGTTCACAGGGGCCTTCTGTGAATAGAAGAACCTTTGTCCAGAGGGAAAAAACAACGTCAGTTGCAAGCTTACATCGCTGGCGATCTCTCGAGAAGCTTTAGCGGCTTGAATAGGGATTGCATCAGCTCGGACATCACATCCTCTCCTCTTAGCTTCTTCCAGAGAATGTTTGTATATTTTCTATGTAGAAAAAGAAATGAAACTATTTAAAAAATACTCAACACAGAGACAGAAAATTAACACTTTATAAGATATGATTATAAGGTCCAATTATCATTTAGTACTCTGGAAAAAGCGGGAAGATCCAGAAGAAAAAGGAAATTGGACTTAACAGAATTAAAACCCAGGCAAATTTAAATGAATGAAGCACAGTGAATCTGCAGGTTAAAAATTATTCTGAGGGTCACCCTGAATGTTTGGAAAAACACAGGTGGCCTTAGAGTCTACACTGGTAATTTATAAGTTGATCAATGCTGGTCTACAAACCTATACCAGGACCCTTTTCACAAACAAGCTGCACCTGCATCTGCAGTCAGTGCTGTGTCCCACATCCCCATGATGCTGTGGGCTTGGTAAATTAAGAAATTTAACTATCCTTAGCATCCAAAGGAGCAGTGGCAGCTTTGCAGCTTTTCTACTGGAATTCTGCAGAAGCAGTTTTACA